TTCAAAACTCCCAAAAAATTCCCATTTAATTTCTTATGCTGAGCTGTGATGTATTGAAACTGTAATGGGAAAAGTTACAATGTGGAAGGGATAACTATACCAACTGATATATACCAGCTCTTTGACCCTGGGAAAGTCTCTTAATCTCCTCTTAGTGCTCTAGGCAACCCTCTGAGATGACGAATTATAGAGAAGGCATCAACCTATACTGGTAGAGGGAAGTCCTCATGCAAGAACTCCCTTACCAACGCAATCTCAGATCTAACCCCTAACCTTCTTAAAGGGATGGTGAGAGAATGTTTGAAAAGGAGGAGAGGAAAAGCCAATTAAGGCTCTATCAAGTCACACCAGACTCACCTCTGTTCCATTTCTGAGAGAATTACTAGATTGGTAAATCAAGGGAATACTATAGATATGGTGTTTCTTTAGATTGTAGTAAAGCATTTTTCTTATGAAAAAGATGGAAACATGGGCTAGAAAATAATATAAGTAGATTTGGAACTAACTGAATGGTCAGACACAAAGAGTAGTTATTTATAGTTTCCTGTCAATTTGAGAAGATTACCTGAGCATTTGGATTTGGACTGGGGCTACTTAACATTGTATTAATGATATTAGGTAATAACAAAGATGGCATGCTTATCTAATCTGCCAATGACCCAGAACTGAGAAGGGAGCTAATACAATGTACGACAGAGTAAGGATTCAGAAAGATCTTGACAGGCTTAGAACATCAGGCAGGATATTATATGATAGAACTGAATAGTGATAAATGTAAAGTTTCATAGAGTAGCATTGAAAAAAAAACAACTTCACAAGTTTAAATTGTCAGGAGGGGAGGTACAGCAGTTCATCTGAAAAAAATTGGGAGGACTTAGTGGAATACAAGTTCAATATTGGCCCACATTGTGATCTGGCCTCCAATCTTAATTTTCATGAAGAGAACTGTAATGTTGAGGGCTCTCCCCTGGTCAATACATCTGCAGTATTGTGTTCAGTAGTGGGTACAACATTTTAGCTGAGACATTGGCATACTAGAAAATGTGCAGGGGGTGGCAAAGAATATAGTGAAGGGATTCATGTTCATGGTATATGAGGCTTACCTGAAAGAAGTGGGGATGACTAGCCTGAGGAGGGGATGTATCTTTTGGTGGGGAGGGGGTAGAGTGGGAGAAGGAGGGACATGATAGCTGGCTTTAGAGTTCGAGATCTGTCATATCAAAGAGTGATTAGATCTTTTCAGCTTGATCTCAGAGGACGGAACTAGAAGCAATGGGTGGAAGTTGTGTGGGAATTGAATGAATTCTCACTCCATCTTGTGATGGATTCTCACTCCATTAATTCTGGAACTGGCTCAGTTCCCTTTCCTTCCTTCCCTCCCTCCTTCCTTCCTTCCTTCCTTCCTTCCTTCCTTCCTTCCTTCCTTCCTTCCTTCCTTCCTTCTTTCCTTCCTTCCTTCCTTCCTTCCTTCCTTCCTTCCTTCCTTCCTTCCTTCCTTCCTTCCTTCCTTCCTTCCTTCCTTCCTTCCTTCCTCTTTTATGCTTTTTGTTTTGGCTAGGCAATGGGGTTAAGTGACTTGCCCAGGGTCACACAGCTAGTAAGTGTTATATGTCTGAGGTCAGATTTGAACTCAGATCCTCCTGATTCCAGGGCCGGTGCTCTGTCCACTGTGCCACCTAGCTGCCCCCCTTCCTCTTTTATGCAAAACACTTCCATATTAGTCATTTGGTACAAGAAGACTTGAGTAAAAGAAAAACAATGAAAGAAAGACAGTGAAAAATAGCATACTTCGGTCTGTTATTCAAACAGTATCAGTTGTTTCTCTGGGGGTAGATAGTATGTTTCATCATTAGTCCTTTGGGATTGTCTTCAGTTGCTTTTCTTTTCAATGATGGGTCTAGTCCGTTTCTGTCTTGTGAGAAAACTTTATTCAGTTATGGAAATTGTGAGAAAACTTTATTGCATTGTTTGAATCTAGCCCTGAGTGGCTAGAAAGCTGGACCACCTCTACCTGTTGCTCAGAGACCAATAACTAAGGACATAGATTTTGCTGACCAAAAACACCCAATCAGATCCAAAGGTTGATGCAAGAAGTTTCCTCACAATTATGTATCTCAGGCAACCCATATGTCTTGTCTGAAAACTGGTTCCATAGCGGTCAATCAATTATTGTTTACATGTTCCTTTGATTGAATACAGACACTTGGGGGGAGTGGGACACCTCTTTTTCTGATTTCAGGGAATTGTACCTGTTTGCTTTCCCCACTCCCAACTTGGAAAGTCTCTAATCTTTCCTCCAGTTAGAAATCTTTACCTAATTTTAACTTAACTTTTTAAGTTAATTATTTTCTTTTAATTAAAATTGACCTTATTTGGTTAATTGTTTTTAATACATAAAAAATCTATCTCACTCTATAGTCAGAGTCTTTGGACTGACTGAAGAATCTGTTTACCCATTTATTATGCCTGAGCTAATGAATTGTATAGTTTGGATTGTTTCTTCAGTTATTCAGTAACAGTTGTCAGGAAGCCATGTAGATGTTCCATAGTGGAAGGGACTGCCTTGGGGAGTCCTGATTCCTGCTCCTGCCCCACTCAAGGTTTCCAAACAAAGAGCTGTTTGGATTTGATATGTTGTAGAGGGGATTCTTTTTTCAGATTGAGGTTGAAATATATGGTATTTGAGATCTCTTCAGACTCTGAGAGTGTGACAATTAAATAGTGTTATGCCTCAGTTTCCTCTTTTGCTAAATGTAGACAATAATACTTTCTCTTTTCCTCTAAAGATTGTTGTGAAGGAAACATTTTTCAAAGCATAAAGTGCTACATAAATGTGAGTCGTTATTCAGTTAACTGTGAGGATGCTTGGTGCAGCACAGATACAGTCTTAGTTGTCAAATTTCCATCTCTAGAAGACTATTCCTATTATTTCTTTCTCTCCTCCCACCCCAACGCTTCCCTATTACTTTTGTATCTGAGCTCTATCTACACAATGTCAAGATAACTGGATAAAAAGTTTAAAAAAAAGCAATTGTGTTTTCAGCTAAAATAATTTAGATATTTGCACGTATCTGGGAGATTGAATGAAATTTTCATATTTCATCCAGATATTTGGCATTACATAGAAAGAGACTTCATTTTCACAATCATATTGCAATTATTTATTGGTCTTCCAAGTCACAAAAGGTTTTGTAGAAGTTTTGCCATTTTTGTAGCTGGCTGAGAATACTAACAGAAAAAGTATATGGGGATTACTGAAGGAAAAACTTGAATGTATGGTTTCATGCTAACATAAGTGTTACACGGGCAATGTTCTTTTGTAGTTATGCCTCCTCACTCCCCATTTTTAGTGCCTTCCTGAAAATGATGATACCGTAGTAGTGAATGGAATTCAATTTTAAAAAGAGGTTTTGTACATGAAATTTACAGAATGTTAATACCACTTTGCACACAGTGGGTGATCAATAAATGCTTGTTGGATGAATGAATGCCACTATGTAGTACTGATAGTATATAGGGTCACAGAAACCTAAATGCAACTATCATTAATATAAGGACTTGAGAAAGGACTTTAAAATATTGCCCAGATTCCTAAAAGTAACTGAATATGGAAGGTGTCCTAAAAGTCTCAATGTAGTTTTAAGCTTAGCTTTAGCAGTTTTGATAGCTTAAAACTGCACTAAAACATTTGGGACCCCCAGTACATGGGTAATAGGATTACATAGTAAGTATTTTATGAACATATGGCATTCTTTATTCTTCAGGAGACTAGTTACCGAGACAGTTTTTAAATGCACTGGCAGTACTAACATTTCTCATTGTAATTCCTTTCTATTTGTGTTTAAATATATATCTATTTTTTAACTCGAGTTATTTATAAATCTTGTTTCCTTGTAAAGCTTGGCTCTCAGGAAAAATAGCCCTTTTTGGCCTCTGTTTATAAGTACAATTCATAGGAATACTAGTAATGTCACGGTAATTGCACCCAGGTTTAATTAAGCAGACTTCTGGACATAATTATAAGCAACAATTTACTAAAAAATAGCTGTAACTATTTGTTTGATGCAATAGAAGGCAAGTGTAATTATTAAAATAACCTCTAGTGTGTTCCTAATGTCATTTTTCAGTTTTCCAGGAGCTAGTCACCAGTAGAGGCCTTTAATTAAGCACATACCTGTTGGAGATGCAATTCATAGTAACTCAGTTGACCAAACATTTGTGGTCACCAGTACTAGATACCTTATACCGATAAGGCTTTTGTCCTCTCATTTCTTAGGATTATGTCAATGGTTTATCCAGGGCTATTATTGCCTGCCTTTCCTTCTGAGGCCCACCTTTGAATTTGTTTCACTGCTGGATGACAGGAGATGAAAAATAAATGTATCTATAGGGAACGGTGTAAGTCCTGCTCAAGAAGCTCTTGGCCCTTTAGGAAGCCAGGAAAAGAAGAAGCTTGTGAGGGTGTGTTTTGAGGGTTTTTCTGGGATTTTGTGAGTGGGTCTCTTTGCAATGCTTTGTTTTAGGGCTTAGAATATCAATTTTTGTTGAGTTGTTTTAGTTGTGTCCGACTCTTTGTGACCCCATTTGGGATTTTCTTGGCAAAGATACTGGAGTGGTTTGCCATTTCCTTCTCCAGCTCATTTTGCAGATGAAGAACTGAGGCAAACAGGGTTACATGACTTGCCCTGGGTCAGACAGCTGGTAAGTGTCTGAGGCCAGATGTTAACTCAGGAAGATAGATCTTCCCAACTTCATGCCTGGCACTCTATTTGCTATGCCACCTAGCTGCCTAAAAAGCCTAAAGTTATTGAGTAAAATGACAGTTAAGGACTATATTCAAATTTTAATGATTGCTATTTTCCTTACCCATTGTAGATAAGCAAGATTTGGCTTTATTGGGATAATCTGTTGAGCTATACTTTTACAATCCTATAGTTTTCTAGATTTTTTTCCCATCAAAATTTTCTGCAATAGAAATAATATTACTGAAATATATAAAAATATATTCATTGAGATCCGATGCACATTAGTCAGTGCCCCAAAAAATGTTCTTGTTACTGTTTAACTCTTAGGTCTTCCATTTGCCCAGAATTTTGGTAAATTGTTGTTTCCTCCCCCTATCTTTAATGAAAAAAATTAGACTTTCTGCTGTTGGCCTTCAGAAGTAGTTAGGGAGTGCAACCGGACGCCTGCATAAAAGACTTGGTATCTGTGTTTCCACATCATGAAACATGCCAGCAAGCACACCAAGGCACAGAGCAAGTTGAGAACCATCTGGACGAGTAGGAAGAGTTTGAAAGTGCTGGTGATGCTGGTACAGTCACTGACATCCTGGTAAACAAAGGCCCTGCTGAGGGGGTCTGACGTGGGCATTCTGCACTGGCAGGAATCGAGGGTGTTTTTGCAGATCAGTTGTGTGAGCTGGGAGTAGTGATGGGCAGCAAAGGCCACAGCCAGCACACAGACAACCAGGCTTAGAGCACTCATCAGAAAGTAGAACAGCTGTAAGAGAGAAAGTGGGAAGGATGTCCAGTTAGACAAGGCAGTTCATCCTATAGACAAAGCACGAAGCTCATTCCCTCCTCCCAGAAGTTCTTGGAGAGTAGGAACTCAGTTTCCTCATCTGTAAAATGAAAGGGGTGAACTCGTTGGCCATTCCGTATGTCGCTCGGTCTTTTTTCATTTGTGTCCAACTGTTCATGACCCCCATTTTGGGGAGTTTTCTTGGCAAAGATACTGGAGTGGTTTGCCATTTCCTTCTCCAGCTCATTTTACAGATGAGAAAGCTGAGGTAAACAGGGTTGAGTGACTAGTAAGTGTCTGAGGCTGGATTTGAACTCACTAAGAGGAGTCTTCCTGACTCCATAGCGCTGTCTACTGTGCCACCTAGTTGTCTGGCTGTTCTATAGCCCTAGTCTACCTCTAAATCTATAATCTTGTAATGCCCTGGTGTCTCTGAAATAATGGTCTTCAGTACATAACAATGCTTCAGAAAAAGCTAAGTGTAGAGCTAATAGGATAACATAGGCATGGTCCTTTGCAAACCTTAAAGTGCTATTTCTTATAAATAATATATAAATAATAATTATTATGAATAATATTACAAATAAATGCTAGTTATTATTGTCTGTGACCTGGAATACATCTGCATTTGCTTGACAGAGGCTGGAGTGTTTCATGAATAGTGTTAATCTATGACAGGGCTGTTCACGTATGAATGCTGCAGTTGTTGTGATGGGCAAACATTAAATAAGCTGGCCACCCTGAAAGACAGATATTGTCTGTTTCAGGGGTAAAAACATCCTTCCAACCTCAAGAACCCCAGATATTAAGGCTGAAACAAGAGTAGGAAATACAGTAGTGGTTTCTGCAGGTCTAACAGAGCTTCAGCCAAAAGTAATAGTACTGAGGCCACTAGCTCCACATCAATGAAACTAGGCTTGGTTTAGTACATGATTCTAGTGGACATGCTTAATTTATGTCTGCCCCAGCACCTCTGGGGCTTCATTCCAATAGAATTCCCAATTCTGGGAATACAAAAGATTAATGAGCAAACATTCTACAGCCACTAAAAATCTGAAAACCATGAGCCTAGACAGAAGAATGCTGGCCCTTGAATTGGAAAAAACAAAACAAAACAGAACAAACAATTAGACCTGAGTCCTAGTTTTGGCCCTGAAGCATTATGGAAATTTAAGGGGAAGCAGCAGCGATGGTGAGGCATAAGGAAATCCCATTCCTGATAATTATACAAACTATTACAGGAGTGGGCAATCTGCAGCCTCAGGGCCACATGTGGCTCTCCAGGTTCTCAAGTGTGGCCCTTTGAATCCAAACTTGGGTAGAGTCTAACTCTAACCCTAACCCTAACCCTCTGACTCTAACCTAAACTTGAATTCACCCAAAGGGCCCCACTTGAGAACCTAGAGGGCCACAGAGATTCCTTATCCTTGAATTATGTGATCTTGGGCAAATTACATATGCTTTTGTAGCCTTATTTTCCTCTTCTGTAAAAGAGGTGGGAGGTTTGAACTATTTGATGTCTAGTGTCTAGTTCACTTCTAGACTCTATTATCTGAACCATTCATTCACTTAGCCTAGGCCTAGCTTGGGGGGCTCTATATCATATCAAAAATCTAGATCAAAATTTTGACCAACTAGGTGGCAACAACAATAAACAACAATTTTTTTGTTGTTTTGGGTGGCTGGACTCACATACTGTAACACTTCATTCACTTCTCCCACCTCCCTTATAATAAATGATGCATTCTGGGACAGCATCTAGGAAAACTGAAATTGAAGTAAAAGTGCAGCTGGGATGGAGCTAACCCCCAGTTCCTGCTCAGTTTGCCCTGGTGGGTTTGTATTTGCATCTGTACTACCTCCTCTACTGGTTAGTACTATCCATTAGCTAATCAGGTTACAGACCTGAGTGTGTGGGTTTTGAGGAATAGGAGGGTGGGGATACGGGAGGGACTGATATTTTCAGATTCCAGTTTGGTGGTCTTAGTGGGGCTGAAAAACACAGGAGTTACTATATTCATCTGAGGCCAAAACTGAATATTTGAGGGCATCTTAATGATCACAGTATCACCATCTATAATGTTTAATTTTCAAAACACTTTGAGGTTGTCATCTGCCCAAGTTACCTCTTCCATAAAATAGCCTGCTAAACATTCTTTTTGTTTCTTCAAGATGAATGAAGACTATTTACACTTAGAGATATATATTAGAGAAATACAAAGTGGTTGATGCTAAGGTGCTAAAAGGCAAAATATTGCTTTTATGATATCAGGCTGAAAACATCAGGTTGCTTCAGCCCTATGAATTCTTGACATTAAGCATATAAATAATTATGCTGCCTACATGTGGGTATGAATGTTGCCCATATGTTGCCCATATGTTGCCAAGATTAGCAATTAAGATTCAGATCAGATAACTAACTTCTCACCTTGTCCTCCTATGCTTCCTGGTGGGGTAAAAGGAATCATAGAACTGGGGCTATCATGGGGAGAATGACCACCTTGGGCAGCCATCCCCACAGTGCCCTACAGCCACTTCCTAGTGGAGTTAGATAGAAGGTGCCACTTACCTGGCCTGGGGACCCTTTACCATTCATGATAGCTAGAATCAAGAGTGTGAGATCAACAAGAAGATAGTTAACTAATGGCCCTTTAGCTTCCAACCACTCACGACAGTGAATATAGTTTTAGGCTTTTTCCCAGTCACCATCCTCTTCAGCCCTGCCCTCTCAGAAATTTACACTGTTGTAATGCAGTGGATATGTCACTGGATTTAGATTCAGAGGTTCAAATGTCACACACTGTTACTGTGCTTGTGACCTTGAGCAAGTTACTGGACTTTTTGGGCCTCTGTTTCCTCATCTGTAAAATGAAAGGGTTGGAAAAGATAACCTCTAAGTCTCTTTCAAGTCTAAATCCACAATCCTTGGTATATGGTCCTTCTAGATTCTTTCTATCTTCTTATGCTCACCAAAGCCTATATTTCTCCTGAAGATAACATGTCCTGTCCCAAGTCTAGCTATTCATTCTTTCACGTTTGTTAACATGAAGGTTGGGAAGAGGAGCTCACATACTCCTTGTTCCCCTTTTCACTTTCAGACCCTCCCTCATCCATTAGCATTCAGCAACTACTTCTCTTCCTTTAAAGGTCATTCCACAATCCAACATATTCTTGTTGTCTGGATCACTCTTCTAACTCCCAATGAGTTCTATAACTGGCTTTTAGTCTTCTTCTGACTCCAACTACCACTTCCTTCAAATACTCTGGACTTTCAGTTCCTCGACTTTCTCAATACCCTCAACCTTTATTTCCAATCTACCTCAATCACATACACAAGAGTAACATCTGAGATCATAGCCAAAAAACAAAACAAAAACCAAAAACTAACCAAAAACCAAAACTCTGGATTTGCCCCAGGTGCCAGAATTCCTATGTGTGTCTCTGGCCAACTTCTTCCCAACCATTTTCATTTTCAACACTTGGTTGTAGCTTAAATAGCAAAAATTATACTTTCCCCCCATTCCCCTGCCTTAGGCATAAGACCTCTTAAAATGTACATCTGGACCATATCCTGCAGCAATTTATAATAATTATCCCTAGTGCCCAATCTGCAAGTAATTCAGGGTTTTTACACATATTATTTTCTTATAATAATCCCAATATACATCTGTGGTAGGAAGGAAACAGGCACAGTCTCCTTTTTTTAATGAAGACATTTTAACTCAGAGAGGTTAAGATTAAGTTCACACAGTGTGTAGAAATAGCATCTGGCTCTCAATATCATTGCTGTACCACATTGTCTTTGTTTTTTCAAGTGTTTATGAGACGTGAAGTAACTGTACATATTTCATTTACAGATGTGATATGAAATAATGTGGTTACATAAAATCACTGATTGCTTAATTTGTAGTAAATTTCCTCAGTCTGCCATGTGCTATAAAACACTTAAAAACTAATTTATTTATGTCCATGAATGTTGCATATATTGAATCTGATTCTTATACGTCAAAATTTGAATTCATGTAGGAGTCACAGCAACAAGTTTTTAAAATAAAAAATATTTAGTTAATCAAAATAAGCCTGTGGCCTGTATTCCTTAGTGTTACAACATTTATCTTTAGACTAGACAGCGACAAGCTTCTGAGTTAAAATCTGCAATTTTAAACCAAGCCTCTTGTTTTACCTACACAACATGAATGAACTGTCAATAAAAGTGTTTGTGATGACCTTGGAAAGCCAGGCAAATATATCTTGATAAAATCTAAACTCAGGACATATTTGTCTTGCAACTGTTAAGAAACATCAATCTTTCAATTGACATGTCAGCTGAGTGGGGGTTGGGGGAGGAGATGTGGAGGGAGGAAGAGCAAGGCCTGTTGGAGAATTGTGGCCTCTCCCCTCCTACTGCGATAAAGGAATTTTAGAATGTACATCTCTGTTTAGAAGCCACAGCTCCCCCTGAATTTAATTAGACCCTGACTGCAGCTTTACAATGAGGGTGACCTCAGGATAAGGGTGGTACTGTTTAAATTTAATTACCTCCCCCTCTGGCTGGGATAGTAAAGGGACTTCCTTTAAACCATACCTGAAGATTCATCCTCAGCCAGTGCAGAGCTACCAAAATATCTCCCAAATGTGGGCACAAGGTAATTTGCTCATAAATACCCTCCTGAGGAATTTGCCGGGAATGTGCCTGCAAGCCACATGAAAATGGATGCATTTCTTAAAACTAAGGGAGGAGTCCAGAGAGAATAATGCCTGGAAGCTCAAGGCAGGGCTGACATCAGCAGACAAATCCCATGACAGCCCCAGAGGCAGCTTGGCAAAGGGCAGACCTGGTGTGGAAAGGCTGCCAAGGAGCCAAAATGTACTTCCTGGAAGAGACTTTTTTCCCCAAAATTTGAGAGAAAGAGGGAGCCCAAAGACAATCACAAAAAAAAATGAAGAGAGTGAAGTGGGGAGAGGAAAATGATAAATTCCAATTGAGTGTCACAAGCAGTCAACCACCCCAAAGGATGGCTATTTGGAATAGATGGGAAGAAAAATTTTCAAACTATTCCAGACCAGTCTGCTCTGCTTGTGACATTACAGATATCAGATGTCGTGGGAAGAAAGATGCCCTTTGTTACCTATAGCCTCTATACCACAGAAGTACAGGCACGAAAGAAGCCATCTGGGATTTGCTGGACTTCTTCAAACTTGGGGGTTTCCTCTATTTTATTTTAAACCTAAAGCGAATTACAGTGTGCATTTTAGACAACTGGCAAAGAGTGTCACAGAAAGTCACATTGAGGAGTGGAGAAATGCAGCCTCAGTATTTGTCAATGCCTGTCGAAAGTGAAAAATGTGAGCTAACGAGTTCTTCCTAGTGTGGAATTCTCCACCTGGCTGACACTGGAGGACTTGCCCCGTCCCTCACTTTTTACTTTCAAATACTGCACAAATGTCAGGATGGTTCTGCTAGTATTTCTGCCCTCTCCTGGGGTCATGGTGAGAACATTTAAAGTCCATTGTGATACTAGCCTGTCATGTATGCCTAGGTGAAGTGGGCACCTATAAATTGACAGGTTCATCTATTGAGTTGGCCTACTAGACCCTGCACAAGGCCTTTGTTGAAACTGATTTCAGCCCATTTCAATAAGCTACTCTGGAGTGGTGGTTCTCAAACCTTTCCATAGAAAAAAGACCAAGGTCACCCACTGCATCTGGGGCCATCTCCAGCTGTCCTGATTTATATCTCGCTGTTGGACCCAAATGGCTCCAGAGGAGAGAGAGAAGCTGGTGACTTTTCACAGCCCTCCTTCACTTAATTCATTTGCATGTCATGGCATCACCTCCCTGATGTCAAGATCCTCTTTGAGAATGAAGGGCAAACAACAACAACAACAACATAGATAGATTGCAAGGGATCTCTGAACTTGTATGGGAAAAAAATCACATCTTTATTTTCACTTACCTCTAACTTAAATTTAAAGTAAATCCTCAAATGTCAAACCATGGAGACCAGGGGTGTGGAACTTGTGGTCTCCAGGCCACATGTGGCCTTCTAGGTCCTTAAGTATAGCCCTTTGACTGAATCCAGACTTCACAGAACAAATCCTTTTACTAAAGGGATTCTGTAAAACACAGAGCCTGATAAATCCCTTTAGTAAAAGGATTTGTTCTGTAAAACTTGGATGTAGTCAAAAGGCCACACCTAAGGACCTAGAAAGGCACATGTGGCTTGGAGGCCACAGGTTCCCCAACCCTGGAAATCATAGATTCGTGATGTTTTTAGTGTCATAGACCTTTCTGGCTATCTGGTGAAGCCTATGGATCCCTTCTTAGTGTAACATTTTTAAATAGTTGAGGAAATGTTTAATTTAAGTTAGAGGTTAGTGAAAATAAAGATGTGATTTTTTTCCATCCAAATTTTTTTTTCCATCCATAGATCCCTTGCAATCTATCTACACCCTAAGTTAAAGATTCCTAGTATAGAGCGAAAGTAAAATTTAAAAATCTAGGCATGACAGTTCATTGTCTTTCATCTCCCATGATCAATTGTAATCTGTTTAAATATATATATTAGTACATTTGTTTTCTCAAATTCTGACATTTTCAAATTAGTCATTTATGACTTTTTTTGACTTTAAAAATACATAGCATATTTATATCTGTTTTTCTTAGAGCAGAAGAATGAACAGTATGACAGGAGAAAAAAACCAACAGTACAAGAAACCTTTGTGTTCTCTACTGCTAAAGCAGTGGAGGAAATGTAGGAATTTGATTTTCCTTTCTTTGAACACTATGTATCTGTTCCCTTAAGCCCTTTAAAAGGGTGTGTCTACATCACCCTTTGGAATAGATTCTACTATGCAATGGAAATGCCAAGGACTTGATTCTGCTCCAATCAAATACACTGTCCATAGCAGAGGAAAAGTATACTCAGCTAATGAAAACACATCTGGCTGCTAAATCTTGCATGTTCCTCTTCTCATCCCCTTTTGGGATAAGCTACTGTAAATGTACACAATGTGCTTTTTACAAAAAAAAATTCCACGAGCCCTCTCATAAGAGGAGATTCGTGTGATTCTTCCTTTTAACAAGTACATATAGAAAGGTATATAATATATATTTGTGTGTATATATGTACATATGTGTGTATATATGTGTGTGTATACACACACATACGTGTATATGTGTGTGTGTATGTGTATATATGTATATATGGTAATAAGAAACTCAGCAAAGGTTTTTGATCAGCCCAGTGTTGTTGGACCAGTGTTATAAAGCCTGTGGTATCTTTTGTTTTAACATGCATCACCTTCATTTCTGAATATATCTTTCCTTGGATCCAGTGAGCTATCCCTTGTCACAAAGTACTTAAGAAAAGCAGTTCCACAACATTAGACAACATTAGCCATATCTGACAATGTGTGCAATATTCCACACCCATAGTCCACTTCTGGTAAGAAAAAAGGAAGGTACATCAGCAGTTCTCTTAGTGAGACTAATTGCTTCATACCAATCTAACTGCTGGAAATTACTAATAACTTTTTAATCCAGCCTGAGATTTTTTTTGGGGGGGGGGAGTCTTTTTTTTCCCAGTTCTTGCTTTGGGTGTGTTGATTGATTGATTGATTGGGTAGCCAGTCTTAACCTGTTGGAGAGTGGATCTGCATGTAATTGTGCTCTCCCAAAGCATTTCTTTAGCTGGCTGGCTGCTGGAAAATGCAATTTGTGGCTGGTCTTTTGCTGTATAGGAAGCCACTCATGTGCTTCCTTCTGAGCAATGTTATGAGAGGAAAAAACAACCACGACTTACTTTCATAGCAAACTGGATGCATGTCCGTTCATCAACTTGATATGAGACACAGAGCATAAACAAACCAAGATAGGACACCACGCAAACCTGCAATGAAGTACATAGAAAAGGAACACTGTCAAGATAAGTCATGTATCCTAATGACATATGTCCAGTTGTTTTTCACTGGCAACATCTTTATAATGGAACTATTTGTTTCATTTAATGACCTGTACTTGTGCTTTTTCCTTCACCTTGACTTGGGGAAACTTGTTTAGAAACAAAGTAAAATCAACCTCAAAGGGGGATGTGGTTGTACTGGAGTTGGAGTCAGTGACCTCTGGATTCAAATCCTGCTTTAGACATTAATTAGCTGTATGACCCTGGGAAAATACCTTAACCTTTCTATGCCTCAGTTTCCTCATTTATAAAATGAGGGAGTTGGCCTCAATGATCTTTGAGGTTCCTTTCAGCGATCCTATGATGTATAAACATTTAGCAGTTCTTTCCATTGCACTTTGGAGACCTTTAAATTTACAAAGATAATACATCTATCCACGTGAGATTTTGTAAAGCTTAAGAATCATAGCTGTCTTAATGATTGAATCCAGGACTTGAACCCAGGAATTCCTGGCTCTAAGGCTAACTCCCTGTCTTCAACACCACATTTCACTTCTCTCTACCCTGCCAAAAAGCATTTATGAAAGCTAGTTTTATAATAGAAAAAATAAACAATAGAACTGCCTTCTGTGACAAATGTGCTACTAGAAGAAAGATTTTGGGTGAGTCGTCTACAGTCATCTAGCAAGTCATTCAGCATCTCAGTTAATAATACTCAGGATTCCTCATGCCTGAGGCTATTTTCAAACCTAAACCATAATTCCTATTAGGTTAACAGTTCTGTTAAAAAGCTTCCCAAAGTATAAACCAATGTGACATTTTTAAGGGAATGCAAATTTCCTTCTTTCCCTTCATTACATTTTTGGTAGGTGCTCTAATCTTTGAAATTAATGCATATGATCAGCTTGAAAAAAAAATGTGAGTTGAGCTTTCTACTAGTTCATGAATCCAAATGCCAAATGTTCTCTGTATCCCAAAATCTTTCCAAAGTTTTTGCATCATTAGTATTGGTTGCATGATTTAATAGTAATTATTTAGTAAATAGCAAATAGTATTTATTTAGTAAATAGTAAAAGTTAGTAGTAATTCCAAATTGGAATGGACCAGAAAGCTCTGTACAGGAAACAAAGCGGTAAGATCTTGGACAGACAGCAGTTCTCTAGCTGACTGAAAGCTATACAAGGTAATGATGCCTAAGTTATATATGTTGATGATGAACTAAGGTATGGCTGCCATTTACAAGTCATTCATGGATTTTTTTAGTGAATATTTTAGGGCTAAATCTGATGAGGTCTAAGGATTTACAGATACCATAACACTGGATGATAAGTACCTATTTGAGTTTGTTTCAGTGCTACCTCAGAGAGCAGTAAAGGATGATGAAAGACCCCTCACTCATATCACGTAAGGGTTGACTGAAAGAACTGGAGGTCCTTATATTGAATGGAAGAAGCTCTGAGGAGATAAGATAGCCATCTTCAAATAATTGAAGGGTTCTTATGTACAAGAACTATTTGACTTCTTCTCCTTGGCCCTGGAGGACATAACTAAGAATAGTGCATGGATATTGGAAAGAGGAAAATTTTAGCCTGGTAGAAGAAAAAAACTTAGGAATTGTTAGAGCTGTACTGAAATGAAATGGTCTGCTGTTTCTATGAAATAGTAGGATCCCCTTTACTAAAAGTCTTCAAGGAAAAGTTGGTTTGATCACTTTTAACCTTCAGTATGTTGTAGGTGATCTTCTTCAGGAGTGAGTAAAACTCAATGGCTTCTGAGGCCCCTTCAAATTGGAACATTCGATAATGTTGTGGCGTCAGGCTCTTTTAAGGCATTTATTAGGAATGGTTCTGTTCCTAATGAAAATCTAGATGTTAGTATCTTGGCCATACAGTAGCATTCTCTCCCATAAAATAAATTTCTGCAGCCCATGGTTTTCAATGCTGATAGTAGTTCACATTTTAGTAATCAGTATAATTGGCAACACCTTATGAATCTGATTTTTTTTTTTTGTACCTCCACCTGAACAAATCTTTCTATTACATAATCCTCTGTAGCTTTGTTTATAATTGATTTTCTTATCACTCAAAAGAAACTTTATGTGAACATGTCTCTGCCTTCTACAATATTCCAAAAAACTTCATTCGAAACTTCTATAGGAGGTCAAATTTTATTCCAGAAATGACGTTTATACAATGCATCTTATACTGATTACCTTCTAAACTCAGTGTTTAATTCAGAAATCACACGGAATGGAAATTACCCCTGAAAAATCTTTTATGTCCTTCATGAAGTATCTTTTAACTGTTGTAGTTGCAAAGGGACTAGGGATTCCTTAAAAAAAAATAAGTCGGGGGGCAGCTAGGTGGTACAGTGGATAGAGCACTGGCCCTGAAGTCAAGAGGACCAGAGTTCAAATCTAGCCTCAGACCAAACACTTGACACTAGCTGTGTGACTCTGGGCAAGTTGCTTAACCCCAATTGCCTAAATAATAATAAATAATAACAATAAGTCTGTATTAGAGATCAGAGAGATCTGCAAACAATTGAATGTAAATTTTATTTTCACATTTCATATAAGCTATTGATCAGTAAAGAAGAAACTAGGACTTCTATTAAAGAAAAAAAGAGAACAAAAATAGGTAGAGAACAGGTAGCAGGAAAACTGATGGTGAGGGAGAAAATATACTTGAAAGGACTTCATACCTAATTGTAATGATATTAGGGAGTGATCACAGCCCCTCATAACCTGCTTCACCTGCTTTCCTGCTTCACCATGACTCAAGAGAAGACAGAAGGAAGTCAAAGAGAACACACCAGAGGCCAACTTGCTAACCAGCAGTGCTAGAAAGGCCAAGTTAGACCAATCAATAGATCCACTAATTAAGAGCAATCAGTAGCTCTAAAAAGAATGAACAGATTGTAGATGTGTTGAAGAGGAGATTCTAGAATCATACTACATTTAGGGAGATGTTCTAACTCTGTAACTGAAGGAATAATAAATTTGCCTTCCCATGTTACACTCATTGTGTAGCATACGCATTTGAGTGGAAAGGCAGTTTCTTTCTCTTTCTCTCTCTCTCTCTCTCTCTCTCTCTCTCACACACACACACACACACACACACACACACACACACACACACACACACACACACACACACACACTGTCTCTCCTGCTCTCTCATAATTGAATTCATAGAAATCAAATATATACAAATACAATGCCATCGTATTATATATGTTGACTAATACAAAAATTATGAAATTTAGTAACTTTTCCTGTCACTTCAGATTCATTCTAGAATGAAGATAGTTTATCACCAGATAAACTCATTACCAGGAAACTTATCATCACAGAGGCTGCTTCAGCTTTGCTACTCATGCTTCATCAATATCCTCAGTTGTTTCTGCCTCTCTGATTAGAGGACCAAAAGCGGTGCAAAAAAAATTCCCCCATAATCTCCATTTAAAGGGGGCTCATAAGCCCAGGCATCTCTTCATTTGCTGCCTGCTATTCTACTTGGCTTCAACTCCATCATCATCTTCATTTTGCCCCATATACTAGGTACCCTCTGGCACTCCCCACATACCTTTTGGACTTCTTTTTGCATCTTCTTCCATTAAATTGTAAGCTCCTTGAGAACAGTGGCTGTCAATCTTTTTCTTATTTGTATACCCAGAACTTAACACAGTGACTGATACATAGTAGGTACTTAATAAATATTTATTGTACAGTATCATTCATTCATTCAACATTTATTATATTTCTACTGTGCTTCTATGAAGCACTGCACTAGGAACTCAGTGAAATTAAAATATATATGACTTGATTCACCTTCTTGGAGTTCACAGCTAGTGGAAATATACACAAATAAATACAAAGTAGTGTGGAGTGTGATAAGAGAGTAACAGAGGCAGCTGGGAGTGACATGGAGGAGGTATTTCATGAATAAGATTTTATTACTATTATTCATTTCATTCATTTCAATATATTATTATTATTCATTTCATGAATAAGATTTTAAGAAAACAGATCAGGCAGGAGGAATAGAATTCTAGGTATCAGCATATCCTAAGCAAATGTTTGGAGGTAGGGGAGAACAGGGCAAGCTTGTGGAGTGGTGAATTTGGCAGAATCCTAGGCATGATATGAGAGATGTCTGGAAAGATGAATTGGAGTCAGACCAAAGAGGGTTGTGAAAATAATCTAAGGAGTTTTGCCTTTATTTGGTTTGCAGTTGAGAGCAACTCAAGTTTTTTGAGCAGAGGAGTAACATAATTGAAGCTATGAATAAAGATTACAATGGTAGATTGGAGGGGAAAATGGAGAAAGGGAGACCACAGCAGTCCAGGTGAGAGGTAATTAGTGACTAAAATAAGATGTATATGAAGGTAATGTAAATTAGGGAAGTACTTCCAGAGATAGTGAGGAGATAGGCTATGACTTAAATTGAGGAGCAATGGTAAAAGAGGAGTCAAAGATGTCTATGAGGTGTCAAGCACGAGTGGTACTTGATAAACGTAGGAAAGTCAGCAACAGCAGAAGGTTTTGGGGAGAAGATGATGAGTTCAGTTTGGTCTATTTTGAACTACAACTCCTAGAAGAACATTTAGGTGAAGCTGTTCAGCAGGTAGAAGAAAGTGCTGGTCTAGAATTCAGTTGAGAGATGACATTTTAAAAGTTTGAGAGATGTAGTTTCTGAGTAATTAGTCATTTAATTAATAAAAGGATCAATGACACTCTCAAATGCCAAAGACCCTTCATTGAACCCACTCAATGCTTGTATGCCCTTAGAAGGATGGGTGTTCCCAAGAGTGACAATCAGTTCTGGTTGATTAACAAGTAATAAGAAAGAATGAATATTATAACAAGAAGTGGGCTTATTTCAATGAGGGCCTTGGGGTACATGACACTGAATACCCAAATCTTGGTCAAAGAGATTACTCAATTTCCATATCATCCATCTGATAAAAGGTGAATCCACATTTTC